TTTGTTGTTGTTTAGTCACTCCACAGTTTATGACTCTTTGCGACCTCATGGACTGCAGCATGCCAGACTTCCCTATTCTTCACCATCTCCATGTTTAGGTTTTAGAATTAAATATAATACAGGACAGAATAATTTGAGTTCTGTAATAAAATAAGCCTGCAATAGGTCAGCATGGTACTTCTCCAAGTTACATACATGTATTATTATATATTGTTGTTGTTAAGTCATTCAGTCGCGTCCAACTCTGCGACCCCATGAACTGTAGCACGCCAGGCTTTCCTGTCCTTCACTATCTCTCGGATTTTGCTCAAACTCATGTTCATTGAGTCAATGATGCCATCCAACTGTCATCCTCTGTCGCCTCTTTCTCCTCCTGCCCTGAGTCTTTCCCAGCATCAGGGTCTTTTCCAGTGAATCAGCCCTTCGCATCAGGTGGCCAAAAGATTGGAGCTTCAGCTTCAGCATCAGTCCTTCAAATGAATATTCAGGATTGATTTCCTTTAGGATTGACTAGTTTGATCCTGCAGTCCAGGGGACTCTCAAGGATTTTCTACAGTACCACAATTTGAAAGCATCAGTTCTTCAGCACTCAGCCTTCTTTATGGTCCAACTGTCACATACGTTGGAGAAGGAAATGGCAGCCCACTCCAGTATTCTTGCCTAGAGAATCCCATGGACAGAGGAGCCTGGTGGGCTGCTGTCCACAGGGTTGCACAGAGTCGGACACGACTGAAGAGACTTAGCATGCCTGAGTCAATGGAGAAGGAAACGGCAACCCACTCGAGTATTCTTACCTGGAGAATCCAGGGACAGAGGAGCCTGGTGGACTGCCATCTATGGGGTCGCACAGAGTCTGACACAACTGAAATGACTTAGCAGCAGCTCACATACGTACTTGACTACTAGAAAAACCATGTCTTAGGCTAGACAGACTTTTGTCAGCAAAATGATGTCTCTGCTTTGTAATATGCTGTCTAGGTTGGTTATAACTTTTCTTCCAAGAAGCAAGCGTCTTTTAATTCCATGGCTGCAGTCACTGTCTGCAGTGATTTTGGAGCCTGAGAAAATAAAGTCTGTCACTATTTTCATTGTTTCCCCATCTATTTGCCATGAAGTGATGGAACCAGATGCCATGATCTTAGTTTTTTGAGTGCTGAGTTTAAGCCAGCTTTTTCACTCTCCTCTTTCACCTTTATCAATAGGCTCTTTAGTTCCTCTACCAAACATTTAAAAAGGAAATAACACCAATCCTTCCCAAATTCTTCAGAAACAGAAAAGGAGAGGACACTTCCACACTCATTTTATGAAGCCAATGTTGCCTTGATCCCAAAACCAAAGACACTACAAGAAAAGAAAATTACAGGTCAGTATCCTTGATGGTCATATATGTAAAAGTCCTCAACAAAGTCTTGGCAAACATATTTGAATATAATATATTCAAAGTATACACCATGATCAAGTGAGATTTATTCCAGGAACAACAGGATGGTTCAACATCCACAAATCAACTGATGTGATATACCACATTAGCAACATGAAAAATAAAAATGGGATCATCTCAGTAGACGCAAAAGAAAAGCATTTGACAAATATCTATTTATGATAAAAACAATGTGGGTATAGATGAGGCATAGCTCAACATGATAAAGGATATATATGAGAAGCCTACAGCTAACATTGTACTCAGTGGTGAGAGACTGAAAGCTTTTCCTGTTAAGATCAAGAACAAGACAAGGGTGCCTACTCCCACCACTTTTATTAAACAAGAGTATTGGGAATCTTAGCCAGAGCAATTAAGCAGGAAAAATAAAAATGTGAGATGTTGGAAGAGAAGTAAAACTGTGCCTCTTTGTAGATGGTAAGGCATTATATAAGACACCACCCCCCAGAAAAACCTGTTAGAATTGATAAATGAATTCAATAAAGTTAAAAGATGCAAAATCAATATCTAGACATCTTGGACTCCCAGACCTCTCCCATGATATCTGACTTCTGCTCCAGGGTCTCTTCCCAAAGCACCCAAGCTTCAGATCGCCTGGGCTTCCAAGCTTTTGCTTAGAATCTGTCATCTCCCAGAGGACTCTGACAATTCTTAACACCCAAGAGCTTCTACTGAGCCTCTAAGCATCTTCATGCTCTGGCATCTCCTTTGCTCTTGCTCGCCCTCTCCTTGAGCTCTGTCCCTTTTCCCAAGGTACCTCCAATCTCTCTTGAGGTTCCAGACCCCTCATCTAGCCTACAGTTCCTCTCCTGTGCTCCCAGTATGCTAAAATGGGCATAGGCAGGATCTCGTTCAAACCTCATAATGAGCCCCATTTTTGCACATGATAAAACTGAGGATTAGGGAAGTGAAATCATTGGCTTGAGATTACATGTTAAATTGAAAGGCAGGGATTCAAATCCTGGTTTGAATCTAGAACCTACATTTTTATCCCCACACTATATCTCATTAAAAATAGCTATCCATTAGAGGAAAAGGACTGAATTCCAGGAACTGAATTAAGCATTTCACTTAGGTAGACATTATTGTCACCATTTTACTTTGAGAAAACCAAAAACTAAGATTAAAAAACTAATAAATGGCAAAGCAAGGGCTAGAATTCTTCTGAATTCAAATTGATAAACAGCCATTATTTCACTCTTTATCCCTGTGATGTACATGAGAACACTGAATCAGAAATGTTGAAGAACTTAAGTCAAAAACAAAGTTTAGGCTTCCCTGGTGGATCAGTGGTAAAGAATCTGCCTGCCAATGCAGGAGACACAGGTTCGATCCCTGTTCTGGGAAGATCCCACATGCCGTGGAGCAACTAAGCCACAACTACTGAGTCCTCCTGCTGCAAATACTGAAACCAGCGTGCCTAGAACCTGTGCTCCACAGAAAGAGAAGTCCACATATCAAAACTAGAGAGTAGCCCCCACTTGCTGCAACTTGAGAAAACCCACATGCAGCAATGAAGACCCAGCACAATAAATCTTTTAAAAACATTTATACAAAATTGTGGGTCTTCTTTCCTTCCTCTCATATTAACACTAAATAAACAAAAGTCCACCTGTACCAAACACTCCCTCCAAGATCTCTTGAGGAAAGGAAATTACAACCAAAGAATCTGAGTGAAGGACAGGCTTTCCTGTCGAAAAGTGATTGAATACTGGCCTCTGACCTCCAAGGGATGTAGCCCACTGAATGGAGAACTTGTGCCTCTTCAGTTCAGTTGCTCAGTTGTGTCCCGACTCTTTGCGACCCCATGGACTGCAGCACACCAGGCCTCCCTGTCCATCACCAACTCCTGGAGTTGATTCAAACTCATGTCCATTGAGTCAGTGATACCATCCAACCATCTCATCCTCTGTTGTCCCCTTCTCCTGCCTTCAATCTTTCCTAGCATCAGGGTCTTTTCAAATGAGTTAGTTCTTCTCATCAGTTTGGAGTTCAAGTTTCAGCATCAGTCCTTCCAATGAATATTCAGGACTAATTTCCTTTAGGATGGACTGGTTGGATCTTGCATTCCAAGGGATTCTCGAGAGTCTTCTCCAACACCACAGTTCAAAAGCATCAATTCTTTCGTGCTCAGCTTTCTTTATAGTCCAATTCTTACATCTGTACGTGACTACTGGAAAAACTATAGCTTGACTAGACAGACCTTTCTTGACAAAGTAATGTCTCTGCTTGTTAATATGCTGTCTAGGTTGGTCATAGCTTTTCTTTCAAAGAGCAAGCAACTTTTAATTTCATGATTGCAGTCACCATCTGCGGTGATTTTGGAGCCCAAGAAAAGAAAGTCTCTCACTGTTCCCACTGTTTCCCCATCTGTTTGCCATGAAGTGATGGGACCAGATGCCATGATCTTAGTTTTTTGAATGTTGAGTTTTAAGCTGACTTTTCACTCTCCTCTTTTACTTTAATCAAGAGGCNGATTTGAAATAGCTCAGCTGGAATTCCATCACTTCCACTAGCTTTGTTCATAATGATGCTTCCTAAGGCCCACTTGACTTCGCATTCCAGGGTGTCTGGCTCTAGGTGAGTGATCACACCATCTTGATTGTCTGTGTCATGAAGATCTTTTTTGTATAGTTCTTCTGTGTATTCTTGCCACCTCTTCTTAATATCTCCTGCTTCTGTTAGGTCCATACCATTTCTGTCCTTTATTGTGCCCATCTTTACATGAAAAGTTCCCTTGGTATTGCTCATTTTCTTGAAGAGATCTCTAGTCTTTCCCATTCAGTTGTTTCCCTCTATTTCTTTGCATTGATCACTGAGGAAGGCTTTCTTATCTCTCCTTGCTATTCTTTGGAACTCTGTGTTCAAATAGGTATATCTCCTTTTCTCCTTTGCCTTTAGCTTCTCTTAGGACAAAGGTTATTTTTTTTATTCCTGTCTACTTTTTAGGAGATTCTAGGTGTGGGGAGGAAGAGAAATAAGCCAAAGTATTTGTTAGATTTTATTTTCTTGGGTTTCAATATCATTGTGGACAGTGACTGCAGCCATGAAATTAAAAGATGCTCCTTGGAAGGAAAGCTATGACAAACCTAGACGCCATGTTAAACAGCAAAGACATAACTTTGCTGACAAAGTTCCATATGGTCAAAGCTATGGTTTTTCCAGTAGTCATGTACGGATATGAGAGTTGGACCATAAAGAAGGCTGAGTGCTGAAGAATTGATGCTTTCAAGTTACGGTACTGGAGAAGACTCTTGAGAGTCCCTTGAACTGCAAGGAGAATAAACCAGTCAATCCTGAAGGAAATGAACCCTGAATATTTACTGGAAGGTCTGATGCTGAAGCTGAAGCGCCAATCCTTTGGTCAGCTGATGCAAAGAGCCAACTCATTGGAAAAGACACTGATGCTGGGAAAGACTGAAGGCAAGAGAAAGAGAAGGTAGCAGAGGATGAGATGTGTAGATAGCATCATTGACCCAATGGACATGAGTTTAAGGAAATGCCAGGAGATAGTGATGGACAAGGAAGCCTGTAGTGCTGCAGTCCATGGGGTCTCAAAGAGTCGGACACAACTTAGCAACTGAGTAACAACAAATTTGTTACAAATGAGAAATGTCATTTTATTTAGTATGTATTAATAGGTTTCTGGAGCTGAATGAAAAGGAGTCCATGTCGAGCCTCACCTTAAAGTGGGTACCAGGTAAGGAGGCTTAAAACCTGTGGCCGGGTCTTATTTTCCAGTAAGACCCCAGAGTCTTAATAGTTAACCAAATCAGAGAGTGGGGGTAGGGATGTTGGGCAGCCTCTCCCTACGGTAAGGATTGGCTTTTGGTAGCCTTTTCCAGGCAAGTTCTAAGAATCCATACTGGGCAATGCCCGTGGGTTGGATAGTATGCACTCTGTTCTGCCCAGGCAAGGGTACAACATTCTGGAATTCAAGGGGACCTGCAGGGGCATAAGAACTACCACACATCAGGTCACAGAGTAACCGTTGTCCAGGCACCAGCTCCTTGATCCTTGCAGCCTCTTCATAGATGGTCTGTTGTGGTTGGAGTCTCTTTCTCTGCAGCAACTCCAGTAGCAGCCTCTGGATTCGGGGGGACTTGAGCTGGTACAAGTCCATGAGACGTTTGAACTGTTCCATCCACGCAGCACTGTCTCTTGCATATTGCTTCTGCAACATCCGCAGAACATGGTATAAGGCCACAAACGTCTCCCATTGGGGGAGCTCTTCCTTGTCTTTAGAGACAGATTGTGCCTTCTTTTCCAGCTGGGGCAGCTTGAGGGCCCTGCCTTCACCCTTCAGAGCCCTGAGATCATTCTGAAACATCAGTGCTAGAGTTTGTTTTTCCACAGAAGCATGGGCACCTGTGAAAATGTCTCTTGTGGCAGGATGAAAGTGTTGCATTCCCATCTCTTGGAGAACATGGGATAATTGCTGTGCCCGTGCACTCCTGTAAGGCTTTCCTAAAAGAAGCCAAGTTAGAGCCTTTGGGTCTTGAACCCTGTAGGTCATTGATGGTAATGCTGGTGTAGGGATGGGCTGGGCCTTTGCCTTGTGAAATGTGGGGAGCTCACTTCTCCCCAAGGCTCGGATGTCCAAGGCCTCTTTATCCACAGAGGGGTAGACGGCTGTAGGAACATCCTTTCTGGTTTGATAAAGGTGCTTTAACTTCTTGACAGCAGTGGATAACTGCAGTACCTGCTCCTTCCTATAGGACTCAGCTAAGGGATGCCAACTGAGATCCTGTGTGGTCTGAGTCCTGTTAGTAGCTGACAGTAACACTGGCTCATGGATAGGGAATGACTCTCCCCAGCTCTCCATTTCTTTCCTTCTGATTGGAGGGATCGCTTTTATGTATACTGGGCTCAAAGCATCTTTATAACATCGTGATATATCTCTGTGACCTACCTGTAGGTTCTGCTGGAGGCGTTTAGCCACAGCTTTAAGACTGTACAGATGGGTCTGTTTCAAATATCCCTTTGAAGTGAGGTGCTTGAGGAGTTGGCTCAGTCTATGGAAACTGTCCCTTGAAAGTTGTTCTCCGGCTTCCAGTCTTATTAAGGCATTACTAATCCAGTCCCCATCTGGGGAATCAAGCCTTTTAGCTGGCATAGAGGTAAGGGATGGGTACAGGGCTGGGGCTGGACCTAGGGTTGGGGTTGGGGTTGGGGCAGGGGCCTGGCCCTCAGTCTTGCCCTTTTGAGAATCCTGAGACTTTAAAAACAACTTCCACGTGCCGTCTCTTGTCCTGTGTTTAGGTTTCTGTGATTCTCTGATAATTTCAGGTAAGCGGGACTTTGGCTTGTGGAGGCCTTTTGGGGTCTGAGTCTCCATCCCCATGACTTGTAAAAACATGCCCTTGCCTTTCTCCAAGAGCACATCCTCTCGTCTTCCCCATGATGTTGTCATGGGGTGTGCTTTAAGAAGTTGACTTTCCTGTCCTTCCAAATCGAAATGATGCCCTAACACTTTCAGGAGCATTCCCTTTTCTTTTCCCAGGGCTACAGGAAATGGTGTTTTGAGGGGGCTCTTCATAATTGTTGGCCACATAATCTTATCACTAACGGTGGGACTTACCTGTCCATAAAACAATGTGTGTTTTTTAGGAGCCACTTCTTCTTTAGCTATGTCCTCCCTTTTCCCAGCAAGAACCTCACTTACTGTCTCTGGCTTCAATAAGTTCACTCCTTCCTTTGGGAGCTCTGTTTTCCACACTCTCTGCTTTACTGAGAGCATTGCCTCTGTAAGTCTTCTCAGCTGTTCCTTCTCTTTACTCATACTCTTCTCATCCTTCTGTCTTGCCTTCTTTTCCTCCTCTTTTTTCTCTGTCTTCTCCATTTTTTCTTCTTCCTCCTCTTTCTCACTCAGACTCTTCTCCTTCTCACTCGGAGCCTTCTCTTTCTTACTCAGACTCTTCTCTTTTTCACTCAGACTCTTCTCACTCAGATGCTTCTCCTCCTCGCTCAGCCTCTTCTCACTCAGTCCCTCTTCCTCCTCACTCAGGCTCTCCTCTTTCTCACTCAGCCTCTCCCCCTCCTCCTCACTCAGCTTCTTCTCCTGACTCAGACTCCTCTTCTTCTCCCTCAGACTCTTCTCTTTTTCATTCAGATGTTTCTCCTCACCTAGGCCCTCCTCTTCCTTCTCACTCAGACTCTTCTCACTCAGATGCTTCTCCTCGCTCAGCCTCTTCTCACTCAGTCCCTCTTCCTCCTCACTCAGGCTCTCCTCTTTCTCACTCAGCCTCTCCCCCTCCTCCTCACTCAGCTTCTTCTCCTGACTCAGACTCCTCTTCTTCTCCCTCAGACTCTTCTCTTTTTCATTCAGATGTTTCTCCTCACCTAGGCCCTCCTCTTCCTTCTCACTCAGACTCTTCTCACTCAGGCCCTCTTCCTCCTCACTCAGGCTCTCCTCTTCTGCACTCAGATTCTCCTCACTCAGGCTCTCTTCCTCTTCACTCAGACTCTCCTCCTTACTTCGGCTCTCCTCCTCCTCACTGAGGTCCTCCTCCTCCTTCTCCATGGGTGGCTCCCCACCTTCCTCCTTGCTGAGGGGCTCCATCTCTTCCTCATGTGGGCCCTCTTTTTCCTTCTTCAGCTTCTCTTTCTCCTGAGTCAGTTTCTTTTCCTTTTTCCTTATTTGGGTTGAACTCTTTTTCTTATGCTTCCCAGCCAAGCTCTCCTCCAATTTCTCTTTACTCAGGCTTACTTTCTTTTCCTTCTTCTTCATCAGGTCTTTCCCTTTCTCTTTCTTGGGCAGAATCTCCTCCTCCTCCTCTCCTTCAATGACCCTCTCCTCGTCTATCCTCTTCTTAGTTGGAGCTTCCACTTCCTTCTCAATCAAACTGTCTGATAAGCCTTCGAATAGTATGTCTCTGATATTCTCTAATAACCACTTTACCTGGGTCTTTTCTGGTTTCTTCTCCTTGATTATCTTTAGAAGCTTCTTCAGCTGCTTTTTTCCTAACAGATTTTGCTGCTGGGCCTCCTTTAGCATACTATCTACCTGGGTTTTATCTAATAGTATATTTTCCTGGACCTTCTCTAATAACCTTTGGTCTTCCTCCAAGCTCTCTTCATCGGTCAGTATTCTCTGTTCAGTAGCTAGTCTGTCGTCTTCTAGTTTTCTCTCTTTCTGAACCAGCTGCTTCTCTTCTCTGGTTATTTCCTCCAGTTCTTTAGAAAATTCCCACCTCTGGCCATCAGTTTCACTCATTTCCATAGAAACCAATTGATCTTCCTCAGGTATTCCTGTTTCTTTTAATGGCACTCTACTCATTTCTCTAATTATTTTAGCCAGGATCTGCATCAGGTGACTCTCTTTCTTCCTCATATCTTTTTCTCTGGAACTAGTCTCTCTTCCTTCAGAACTAATCCCCACCCCCATATCCGGTTTCCTCATTTCCTGTATACTCTCCTCTTGGATTCTTTTCTTTTCTTCCTTAGCAACACCCATCTCCTTGGCCCTAACGTCACAGGCCAGTTTCCCCTCAAGAAACTCTTTCTCTTCTTGAGTTGCTTTTTTCTTTCTCTTAGTTACACCAGTTCCTTCCCTGGCTATTGCCCCTTCTTTCTCGGCAATATGCCTCTCTTCCTTGCCCAGAATACTGTTTTTTTGAGTCAGTCTTTTCTCCAAAGCCCTTGCCTGTCTTTGCTGGGACTTTTTCTCCATTTCACTGGCTTGTTTCTTCTCTTCTCGGGACAATTTCTCTTTTCTCCAGGCCCATTGTTTTTTTTCCTTGCTGATTTTCTTCTCTTTTTCCATGACCCATTTCTCTTCTTTCATAGCTTTCTTCTCTTTTTCCATGACCCATTTCTCTTCTTTTGGGGACACTTTCTCAATTTTCTGTCTACTTTTCTCTTTTGAGACCAGTTTCATTTTTTCTCTGACCAGTTGGGTTTTTTCCTCTGCTGCTTTCTCTACTTTTGGAGTCAATTTTTCCTTTTTCTGATCCCATCTCTTTCCTTCCTGGGCCTGTTTTTCTCCTTTCAGTGACAGTTTCTCCATTTCCCCAGCCTCTCCCTTCTCTCCTAGGTCCACTTTTTCCCCTGAGATCTGTCGTCTCTTTTTCTTGGTCATTTTCCCCACTTTCTGGGCCCCTCCCTCCTTTTCCCAAGCTTTGCTTGCCCTTTTCTGGATCTGTTTAACTTCTTGTTGTGACAGTTTCTCCTTTTCTCCAAACAGTTCCTCCTCTTTTTGGCCTAGTTTCTGTCTTTTCCTGACTAATTGTTTGTCCTTGGCATCTTCCTCCTTTTCCTTAGCCTGCCTCTCCTTCTCGTCTACTTTCTTCAGTTTCTCAACTGGCTTTTCCTTTTCTTGGATTTGTTTCTCTTTATGGGCCTCTTTCTTCTCTATCATGAACGATTTCTTCTTTTCTCGGATCAATTTCATCTCTCGATTTACCGAGCTGTGTCTTTTTAATGTCCGTTTTCCCTTTTTCCCAGACAGTCTTTCCTCTACTTTAGACAAATGTTCCTCTTCCTGGGCCAATTTTTCTCTTTCCCAGGCCTCTTCCTCATCATGTTTCTCCATTTCCCCCATATGTTTCTTTATTTTGCGATAGTTTTTCATCATTTTTTCAATTTGTTTCTCTAGGTGCTGGATTATTTCCTCCTTCTCCTGGGCCAGCTCCTCCTCTTCCTCACCCAGCTCCCCCAGTTCCTCATTGAGCTCCTCCAGTGCCTCAATCAGCTTCTCCATTTCCTCACCCAGCACCTCCAATTCCTTTCTCAGCTCTTCATCTTCTTCACTCAGCTCCCCGTCTTCCTCACTCAACTCCTCCTCTTCCTCCATCAGCTCCTCCTCTTCCTCCATCAGCTCCTCCTCTTCATGGAGCAACTTCCTCTCTTCCCAGACAGGCAACCCTTCTTCCTGGGCCTGCCTGCCTTCTTTGTGATCCAGTGTAACCTTCTCCCAGTACCATGTTCTTTGTCCCGGGGTGACCTTTCCCCCTTTCCAGTTCATCCTCTTTCCTTTACCTAGTAGTTCCTCTTCTTTCCCAGTTCCCTTCTTTTCTCTTTGGACTAACTTCTGCTCTGCCTTGGTTAACTTCTTCTGTGAGATGGGTGATATTTCTTCGTCCTCAGCTCTTTTTTCTTTTTGAAGGATTGGTTTCTTGTCCTCGGTCAGTTTCTCTTTTCCTTGCATTAATTTCAAATCCTGCTTACTCAGTTTTCTTGCTTCCCCAGTTATTTTCCCTTTTTGCATAGCTAGTGTCTTTACTTTTTGGAATCTCATTTTGTCTGATACTTCGTCATCATCTAAGTAAACAAGTTTCTTTTTCTTGACTTTAGAAGACACCTTGCCTTTCTTTATCATTTTTTTAGCTCTTTGTTCTTCTTGTTCTCTGGGTCCTACTGTCTTTTCTTCCTTGACAACCTCTGTAACCACTTCTGTTACAACAGGTGTTTCTTCCATCTCCATGTCATCCAGTTCTGATGAGTCCTTTAAAAGAGGACAAATCTCCTGGAAGAGATCCCAGCTGGGCTCTTGGGGAGCAAGTATTGCCTGAGCCCAGTTCACCAACTCTTGACTCAGATCCCTTAACATTCGTGGATCAGAACTTGCTATCCTTGAGGTCACAAGATTGCAAATGTCATCCCGCCAAGATATGGCTTCTGATTTGGTTGTGCGGCCAGGCATCCCAGACAAACCACGACCACCCTTTCTAAATACTTTTGTTGCATCTTCTTCTTGCTCAGCAACCTGTATAACCTCTTTCTTGGGCTCTTCTGCAGTTGTTTCTGGAATTACCTTCAATTTTCTCTTCTCTTTCAACTTCACCCTTACTTTGTCATGGCTTTTTTTCATTGCTCTTTCCCAAAGCCTTTTCAGGTTTTCTTGTCTCTGCACCTTAGGGATCACTTTTCCATAATCTCTCATGTCCTGTTGATCTATGGCCTTCATAACTCCCATGGCCTCCACTGCCTCTCTGGCCTTCACTGCTTTTTTGATCTCCAAGGCTTTTGTGGGTTCTGTGACTTCTGTGGCCTCCAACACAACCTCCTTTGATTCAGCATCCTCTTTGGATGTGACTGGGCTGAAAGTACTTAGTGACAGGTCTGGCTCTGAGGCAACATCCTGAATGTCAATTTGATCTGATTCCTTGGCTTCTCTCTGTTCATCTTCATGCTCTAAAGTCACCAACACAGGGCTCAATTCTGTCTCTCCCTGCTTCCTAGAAACTTTCATGTCCTTTTTAACTGCAGAGATATTGGGAGAAAAGTAATTGAGAAAAACAGAGGTCCTGAGTGAGATTCTCTGACACATCTAGTTCAATGAACTGCTGTAAAGGGTAACAAAAAGTACAGGCAACAAAATCTTTATGGCCCAGAAGTGCCTGCTGTTTTATCCCAATTTCCATATCTCTAAAGAAATAAGACCTTGGTATTTGTTGTGGGAAGATCCCCCAGAGAAGGAAATGGTATCTCACTCCAGTATTCTTGCCTGGGAAATCCCATAGTCAGAGGAGCCTGGCAAGCTACAGTCCATAGGGTCCCAAAGAGTTGGACAGGACTGAAGTGAGTTAGGACAGCACAGCACAAAGAAATGAGACCTTGATATTTGTTGTGGGAAGATCTCCTGGAGAAGGAAATGGCAACCCACTCCAGTATTCTTGCCTGGGAAGTCCCATGGACAGAGGAGCCCGGCAGGCTACAGTCCATGGGGTCACAAAAGAGTCACACACAACTTAGTGACTAAACAATAAAAACAAATTTGTTATGGGGTAGATCTTCCCCAGAAAGGTTACTTTCTGTGAAAGAGTCCTTACTTAAGTCTGTCACCACTGGTATCTTTTTATATAGGCTTATTGACCCTGCCTTTTGGTGCCCTAAAGTGGGCCCCAAATATACCCTATATGTCACCCCATACATACTGAGATTTTTGCTCTTTGCTGTAACAACATGTGTCATTCTTTGCTTTGGTTTGGCGATCTTTGCAGGTTCTGACCAAATTTTGAGTGTTTGTTCATCAGGGACCTCAGGTTCATGATCCCTTGATATAACTAAAACCAAAGGAGGTTTCTCCTCTCTATGTGACAGGGTCAGGTTCTCATTTAACCGCTGTTCCACCTGAGTAAGCAGGTACTGGATACCACTAGCTTGAATTCCCAGCAGCTGGTCCAGAGAGATTTCTCCAATAAAGTCATGCCTACAAAAGTCAAGGTAAAACAAGGATTATACTGAGCCATCAATAAAACAAAATTAGAGGAAAAGGAGGAGGAGAAGGAAGGAGAGGAAAAGGAGGTAGTGGCTCAAGGATAGTGGAAGAAGCGGGGCTAAAGTAACCATCTAGGACAGAGTAGTTCAAGGTAAAAGATGGATAAAGAGGTAAAAATCTACAATAGCAAGGAATGAGTAGTCAGAGTGACCCAAGATGCTTCTTTAGTTGGGAGATTTGGGGACTTGAGTCTTGAAGAATCTTAAGGAAGTGAGGAAATGATGGAAGAGCAGACTACTCAATGGACAGAAAAAGAGGGTGTCAGCTACAAATTGCCACTTGCCAAGGACACTTGCCATCTGCCTCTACAAGGATTAAGTCATGTGCAACTGTGGCTTGTTGACCTTCAACACACCCTGAACTGTGTTCAGGAGGTGGAGATCAGGAACAAGGCAGTCTGCTCTGGAAAAGCTGGCAGAACAGATCTTTAGATAGTTAGATATTTTCAGGAACTGATTTTATGTGCCCAATTCCTTCTTTCTTTTTTGAACTTTTAATTTTTTATTGGGATATAGCCGATTAACAATGTTGTGATAGTTTCAGGTGAGCAGCAAAGGGACTCGGTCATACATATACATGTATCCATTCTTCCCCAAACCCCCTCCCATTCAGGCTGCCACATAACACTGAGCAGAGTCCCATGTGTTAATACAGTAGGTCCTTGTTAGTTATCCATTTTAAATACAGCAGTGTGTACATGACCATCCCAAACTCCCTAACTATCCTTTCCACCTGGCAACCATAAGTTCATTTTCTAAGTCTGTGAGTCTCTTTCTGTTTTGTAAGATCATTTGTATCATTTCTTTTTAGATTCCACATATAAGGGATGTCATATGATATTTCTCCTTCTCTGTCTAATTTACTTCACTCAGTATGACACTTGGTAGGTCCATCCATACTGCTGCAGATGGCATTATTTCATTCTTTTTAATGTATGAGCCCAATTCTTGCATCTCCTCATATCTAGAAAAGCACCAGATTCCTTCATGGTAATATCTACTCCTCGTGACTAGCAGAAACCTGCAAAAATACGTGCTTGATTGTATGAACTCCCCCTTCACCAAAATCACATATATATTGACCTCCCCCTGCCCACCCCCCCATCTCTTTGGAGCATTTTCTCAGAAATATCTGAAATGCTGTCATAGCCTGAGCTATGATCCTCTTTTGCCCAAATAGAACTTAACTCACGACTCTCACATTGTGCTTTTTTTTTTTTTTTAAGTCAATAAGGGATAGGGTGGTGGGGGGAGGGGGAAGCAAATAGAAATAAAGAATACAAGCAGTGGAAAAGAACAGAAAAACTGTGGGAAAAGGAAAAGAAGCAGTCGGATCAGGAGCCAGAAGGAACAGAAAGGAATAAGGTTACTGACTTACTGCATTTCCTTGAGAGTGTCTCGTCTCTTCAGCAGAGCTATCAGCAGGCTCTTAGTTTGGATGCCCGTGACTCTTACCATAAGGTATAAGGCCTTAGCCCGCACATTTTTGTCACTGTCCATCAATCCCACAGCCAGGGGAATCGCAAAGAGACGGCTCATGAAGCCTAGCTTCTCCAATCCCTCCCAGGCTGTCTCCCGGACCTCTGGATTGGAATGAGTTGTGTCTTCCATGAGGCGACAAGCAGTCTCAGAGTGCAACCTTGGAGATACTTGATGGGAGGCAAAAATCTGTGCCAGGATACTGACATATGTCTTGTATTGCTCTATAGAACAGTAAACTGTGAGGTTGAGGATAGTCTCAATTATAATATTGATAAGTCCTTCATCCAGTTTTCTTCCCATCCAATTTTGACTGGTCAAGTTTACAAGAATATCAAAGAAAGTTTGTTTCCCCAGCATGGGTTTTTGGTCTGGCTTCCTCTTTGAGATTTTCTGTTTTATTGAAGTCACATGTGACAGTGCCTGACTTCTGCTGAGTCCAGTCATGTCCCAGTCCTTATCTTGGTAGGATAGGTGGAGATCACAGTGCAAGAAGATGGGGGTACCCTCAGGCCAAAGACGGGCACGGATCACTGAGTTGGGGATGTAGCCATCCGGAGGAAAGGGCCAAGGTCGCCCTTGACCAAAGAAATGACATAATATCTGGTAGGGTCTCAACCCATCCCAGCTGGCCAGTCGCAACTGAGAAGGAACCACGAATGGGGGACGATCACGCTTGGGAGTCAGAGTAGGAAAATCAGTATACTTATCTTCCAAAAAATGCAATGTGGGTCCCTCCTGCATCACAGAGGACTTAGGCCTCTCTTCCTCCACAACATGGGGCACAGTATGGTCAAAGGCAATCATCCGTTTGTTAACAAGGGCCTCTAGCCCCTGTAATTCCTGCGACCCTTGACCAAAGTAGACAAATTTGGGCACAAATACTTTTTCGAATGAAAAGAAGAAGCTAGGCAGGAAGGGTTTAGGGGCTTCTTGTATGTCATCTGCATTGTTCAGGAGAGTTAGGTGAATCAGCTGGGCTGGAGGGAGCAGTTTTAAGCAGGATACCAGGTAAAGACTCTGGTTAAAAGTCAAAAGCAGGTCACCCCGGTTATTGGCAAAGCACAGTGGGCCAAAATGTAATGCAGAGTCCAACTCGGTTATGAGTTTCCCATGGAAGTCCCAGATCCGGACTGAGCCGTTAGTGTCCCCTGTGACAAAAAGTTTCAGGGAAAGGCAAACATCAAATGAAGTGATGGCACACTGGTGCAGGCATTTTGTCTCTTTAAACTCAGATCTCTGCTTTGATCCTGGAGATGTCAGAAAGTCCTGATAACTCCAGAGATGCCAGTGGTGGTTCTCAGTGATGGCACCCACAGAACCTGGCAAGAGTATCACGTGTTTTAGGGGGCAAATACAGAGAATTTTGCTGACAGGCTTCAGGACTACCCTGTCCCCCTGCAGAACAGCTTCTGTCAGATATACAGTATTATCCATGCCATAGGAACAGAGCAAGGAGTACTCTTGGGGACCCTCCAGGGTAGACAATGCCAGGACTGCCCCAGAGTGAAGAATCTTTTCTGCTCGGGCACAACTGTAGTGGGAGAGGATTCTCACAGTGCCACTGTCATGCCCACTGAACATCAGTCCTACAAGGCCCTTACCCAAATGGTACTGCCCATAGGCCAGGCATTTGACTCTATCCCCAAGGCTTACTGAAGGACACATAAGATACTTGGCTGTGCAAGGAGAGCGTGTTGCATCAAACACCAGCACCCCTGAACTATCTGTTGCCACAAAGAGCTCCTCTCTGTGTGAGTCATAGGCCCAAGCCACAGCCTTATCCATGATAAGTAGAGGCCAGGTGATAACCAGGAGATCTCCCGTTACTGGAGACAAGAAGCGCAACAGACCGTCCTTAGTGGCACATAGGATCCGAGTCCAATTATGGCCACAGCAGACCCGCCGCACCTCCTGGGGAGCAGAACCACAGATATTGAAGAGGCTATAAAAGTAGGGCAGGTGATACAATGAGACAGTGTGGTTAGTCTGGCAGAAAAAGGTGCTGTTATCAATGAACTGCAGTCTCTGCATGTTCTTATCAATATCCAGCTGCCGCAGCAAGTTCCCAAAGGCGAGGTTCCATTCCTTCACTACACCTTCACTGCCCGCTGTTAGTAAGGTGTAGGTCTCGGACCGGCTTTGGATACACATCACTGATGAGGAATGAGCCTGGAAGCTGTGGAGGAAGTTACCTCGGTCTAGACCCCAAGCATGGATTTCTCCGTCCTTGTTTCCAACATAGAAGTAGCCCTGAGATAAACAAGTGAAGGAGCAGGTGATGGTGGAGCCACTGTTGATGGGAGTGAACTTCTTCACCTCTTCCAGTTGGCCCTGACCTTGGTGGGTGAAGACTCTCACCTTATTTTCACAGTGAGCCAGCAGGGAGCCCCGGGGGGCATTCAGGGAAAAGCCCTGAACAAGCTCACCACCAGGCATAGGCACAGTTTGGGCCATTTGCAGGCCCCTGCCGTTCGGCAAGATAAACCAGGTGACCACAGCCCCCAGGGTACCAGAGAGAAGCATCTCAGTTTCTGAGTCATAGCTGAGGCAGCTGATGGAGAAACGACAGGGGACCATACCCAGAGATATGAACCCTTGATGGTGATCCCCAAAGAGCCACAGGCGCATGTCATCACAGTAAGCAATTAACATGTGATAGGGACCTGTGTGGACCATTGCTTGGATGGGTGGCACTTGAGCCATCACATGGAACTTTATCTTTTTTATCACTCCTTCCATTTCTGCAGCTTTCTTCTGAATCCAGAGTACTGCCTAGAAGAGGATGAGAGATGAGAGCCTCACCATGGAGGAAGTCTGCTCCCCAGTGTGAGGGGTAGATGGACCTCCCTGGTGGGCCGGTGGCTATGGCTCTGTGCTCCCAATGCAGGGGCCCTGAATTTGATCCCTGGTCAGGGAACCAGATCCTACATGCCACAGCAAAGATCAAAGATCCCACATGCTGCAACTAAGACCTGGCACAGCTAAATAAATAAAAATTTTAAGTGAGGGGTAGAAAAAGGTTGTTTAGATCCCTTTTCCCTCTTGTGGGTCTAAGAAAAGACTGAATAGCTTGACTTTGGGAGTTTCCTGATGCTAGGAGTCAGGTGTGTGATAGAAGCACTATGCTTAAGGCTCTTTCCTTGGCCTTTAGCCTACTTTATGCAGAATATGAATTCTGTCAGCCTGATGACTAGAGGGGAAGAAGGATCACCGCATCCAGGGCAGAGTGGGATATAGAGATGGGTATTACAATGAGCTAGCTTAGAATCACCCTCAGCATCCTGAGATGAGGGCAGTTGAAGTATGATGCATGTAAAGAGGATTAAGAATGAGGTAGGGGACTTCCCTGGTGGTCCAAAGATTAAGAATTTGCCAGCCAATGTAGGGGACACGGATTCATTCCATGGCCTAGGACTATTCACATGCTGTGGAGCAGCTAAGCCTGTGTGCCACAAATATTGAGTCTGTGCTATAGAGCCCACGAGCCACAACTAGTGGGCCTATGCAGCGTGACTGCTGAAACCTGTGTGCCCTCGAGTGCATGCTCCATGACAAAAGAAGCCACTTCAGTGAGAAAGCCACTCACTGCAACTAGAGAGTAGCCCCAATTCATCACAACTGGAGAACGGCTGAGCCCAGCAACAAAGCCCAGTGCAGCCAAATAAATAAATACAATTAAAAACAAACAAAAAGGATGAGGTAACTTTACCTGCATTTGTTTTGAATACAGTTCTGCCCAGTTTAAGGAGACAAAATAGTTGTCATCAATGGAGTAGAAGCAGATGAAAGTTTTGCTCTCAGGATGGTGAGACTCTTGGCATAGAATCTCAGCCCAGTCACTCAGCATGTTCACATCACCCTCTGTTTTTTCATCAACCTGAGAGAGAGGAGTGACCTGAGTTAAGAGGGTTGAATCCCCACATACTCATTCATTTAATGAATATTTATTGAGGGATTAGTGGAAATCTGTTCTTTCGCTAACCAACATTTATTCACCCTACTTCTAGAAAGCACAATTGGGGGAGCTATCCTCTCCTCCCTAGCCCTCAGAATGCATCCTAATTCATCAAAGTATCTGCCAGACTTTCTCGCCAAAGTTCCGTAAGAGAAGTAAGCCCCAACACCCCAACATATCTATTCTATATAATGGGTATTAATTCTTCCCTATGCATCTGGAATGCTACTAGTTATGTACCATCCTTAAGAGAACTGAGAAAATAGTCACTCAAATCATTGTCTGTGTCCTATGGGTCAGATGAGGTACCACCTTTGAGAAAGGCTGGTGGTATGTTTGTGACAGGCACTGGGGATATAATGCTGAGCAAAAGAGATACGGGCTAAGCTCTTAAAAGATAAGAGTCCAGTGGAACAGATGCTAAGCACACAACACATGACTGAATGTATGTATGTATGCTCAGTTGCTCAGTTGTGTCCTACTCATTGCGACCCTATGGACTGTAGCCTGCCCGGCTCCTCTGTCCATGGGATTTTCCTGGCAAGAATACTGAAGTGGAGTGTCATTTCCTCCTCCAGGGGATCTTCCTGACCCCAGGGATCGAACCTGTGTCTACCGCGTCTCCTGCATTGGCAGTCAGATTCTTTACTACTGAGCCTTCTAACAAATGACTATACAAAACAAAGTCTTCAAAAGAAATACAATCCTATATGAATATGACAGAGAAACTCAACCTTGGCAAATATCTCTCCCTGTCACAGTTGGACCAAAACTTTAAAGTTCCTGCCTGCACCCAAAGGACCACTCCTATCATAATCACAGACATGATATGTAGCCTCTGGGAAACTCACGCTTTACACACGTGGAATGCCCACCGTGTGTGACAACTAGACCCTGTGGCATGCACCTCCTTCACCATTCTCATGTGCATCCATGGAAAACATGTTGACAACACAGAGTTAGCTGTGCTTCAGCTCTAATATTCTGAATTCTGACCCAGTGAAGTGAGTGTGTGTGTGTGTGCACATGTGCTCACGCACTTCACACACATGAATCTCTCAAGAGAAGTTTGTTTCTTTTCAACATGTTACATAGTACAGTACACACTACCTTCTAGTGACTGTAGCATTTTCCTAGGATATATATCCTTATTTATATAAGAATATCCCTATAACAAGCATATATGAACTCCTCATTCTGACTAACCAAAGCTGAGGCTTAATAAGTTTACTTTGGAAGTCCCTCTTCTCAGCAGACACTCATGCTATACCTGCTTCTTGAACAATCCTCCATGAATATAACTCTCCAAGTCTCTCTGCGTTAGAATGTGCACTATGACCAACGAGGCTGACAAGTAAAATCCTCAAGTTCAGTTCAGTTCAGCTCAGTCACTCAGTCATGTCCGACTCTGCAACCCCATGGACTGCAGCATGCCAGGCTTCCCTGTCCATCACCAACTCCTGGAGCTTGCTGAAACTCATGTCCATCGAGTTGGTGATGCCATCCAACCATCTCATCCTCTGTCGTCCCCGTCTCCTCCTGCCCTCAATCTTTCCCAGTATCAGGGTCTTTTCAAATGAGTCAGCTCTTCGCATCAGGTGGCCAAAGCATTGCAGTTTCAGCTTCAACATTAGTACTTCCAATGAACACCCAGGACTGATCTTCAGGATGGACTGGTTGGATCTCCTTGCAGTCCAAGGGACTCTCAAGAGTCTTCTCCAACACATCTTGATTCCAGCTTGTGCTTCATCCAGCCCAGCATTTCTCATGATGTACTCTGCATATAAGTTAAATAAGCAGGGTGACAGTATAGAGCCTTGATATACTCCTTTCCCAATTTAGAACCAGTCTGTGTTCCATGTCCAGTTCTAACTGTTGCTTCTTGACTGTATACAGATTTCTCAGGAGGTAGGGAAGGTGGTCTGGTATTCCCATTTCTTGAAGAATTTTCCACAGTCTGTTGTGATCCACACAGTCAAAGGCTTTGGCATAGTCAATAAAGCAGAAGTAGATATTTTTCTGGAACTCTCTTGCTTTTTCTATAATCCAGCTGATGTTGGCAATTTGATCTCTGGTTCTTCTGCCTTTTCTAAATCCAGCTTGAACATCTAGAAGTTTTCAGTTCATGTACTGTTGAAGCCTGGCTTGGGGAATTTTGAGCATTACTTTGCTAGCGTGTGAAATGAGTGCAATGAGTACATTCTTTGGCATTGCCTTTCTTTGGGGTTGGAATGAAAACTGACTTTTCCAGTCCTGTGGCCACTGCTGAGTTTTCCAAATTTGCTGGCATACTGAGTTCAGCACTTTAACAGCATCATCTTTTAGGATTTGAAATCGCTCAGCCGGAATTCCATCATCTCCACTAACTTTGTTCACAGTGATGCTTCCTAAGGCCCACTTGACTTCACATTCCAGGATGTCTGGCTCTAGGTGAGTGATCACACCATCATAGTTATCTGGGTCGTGATGATCTTTTTTTGGTATAGTTCTTCTGTGTATCCTTGCCACCTCTTCTTAATATCTGCTGCTTCTGTTAGGTCCATGCCGTTTCTGCCCTTTATTGAACCCATCTTTGCATGAAGTATTCCCTTGGTATCTCTAATTTTCTTGAAAAGATCTCTTATCCTTTCCCATTCAATTGTTTTCCTCTGTTTCTTTGCATTGATCACTAAGAAGGCTTTCTTACCTCTCCTTATTCTTTGGAACTCTGCATTCAGATGGGTATATCTTTTCTTTTCTCTTTGCCTTTAGCTTCTCTTCTTTTCTAAGCTATTTTTAAGGCCTCCTCAGACAACCATTTTGCCTTTTTGCATTTCTTTTTCTTGGGGATGGTACAGTGTCACGAACCTCTGTCCATAGTTCTTCAGGCACTCTGTCTATCAGATCTAATCCCTCGATTCTATTAGTCACTTCCACTGTATAATTGTAAGGGATTTGATTTAGGTCATACCTGAATCATCTAGTGGTTTTCCCTACTTTCTTCAATTTAAGTCTGAATTTTGCAATGAGGAGTTCATGATCTGAGCCACAGTCTGCTCTTGGTCTTGTTTTTGCTGACTGTATACAACTTCTCCATCTTTGGCTGCAAATAATATAATCAATCTGATTTTGGTATTGACCGTCTGGTGAAGTCCATGGGTAGATTCAACCCTTGTGTTGTTGGAAGAGGGTGTTTGCTATGACCCGTGTGTTCTCTTGGGAAAACTCTGTTAGCCTTTGCCCTGCTTCATTTTGTACTCCAAGTATTAATTCTTCTTCACTCAAAATGCCCATCATGCCTGCTGCCTACATCCACAGAGGCTTTGAAACTGTGCTGAAGCCATTATCCACAACTCAGAATTTCTGTTCTCCCTAAAATTCTCATTGTCAGATATTTGTATGTTCTGAGAGAATACAGACAGCTGGAGAACTTCAAGCATGATTCAGGGACAGCCACAGAGTTGAGAGGATCATGGTGTCAAATCATGATCTTCCCTCTTCATTGAACCAGAAACCTCATTTACACACCCTTTATTCCTTAGTTAATCACCATTCCTCTCCTCCTTTCCAGACTTCATGTACAAATAATTCACTCACTCATTCAGCACTATCAATGCTCATCTACAGAGGAACTCTAAAAGAAAAGGATATCTTAAGCAGTGTATCTGTACCTGGCACTACTGTGACCTACTCTGTGTCAATCCCCATTCCTTGCTCTTCCTCCTTCCATTCCAATAAAACTTGAAACTTGATTAAGGTGATCATGGACTCAGAAATTCTGGAGAGTGGTACTGACGCTGAAGCTCCAATACTTCGGCCACCTGATGTGAAGAGCTGACTCATTGGGAAAGACCCTGATGCTGGGAAAGATTGAAGGCAAAAGGAGAAGTGGGCGACAGAGGATGAGATGGTAAGATAGCATCACTGACTCAATGGACACGAGTTTGAGCAAATTCCAGGAGATAGTGAAGGACAGGGAAGCCTGGTGTGCTACACAGTCCATGGGGTCACAAAAAGTCAGACATGACTTAGCAACTGAACAACAATGACAACAGAGTGGCACCATGGTACTTCAAGGCTGGCACAACCCTGTGCTCTCTGACCTTCTCTCTTCCACCTTCTTTTAATTTAAAGCTGTAAGTGTGGCAACTATCTTGTACCCTTATGATAGTAAGCTGAATACTAAAGAGGTTAAAAAAAGAGTAAAAAGGAACATGGTTCTCTGACACCATGTAAGACAAAGATGCCTCCTGCTTGTTTAATCCATTTAAGGCCATTTTCTGGTTTTCATTTTGTTTTTGCAGAGCATGTTCTAATTATAACTAACGTTATCATATTAATCTAGACTTGGGAGTTGTTTAGGGCTATGAGAGGGCCCTTCCAAAGTGACTCACATGTTGCTCATGCCACAGGCCGCCCTGGCAGGGATAGATAATTACTCCAAGCCCACCATGCGCATATCTCTCATACACTTCACCTGTTTATCCTTCAGGATATCCTTTAAGAGGGGTTTCAAGTCCTTCCACTTGGGAATAAGTCTGGGTGATGTTGACGTTCTCGTGATATCCCAGCACTTAAAAGACATCTTGGATTATTGAATCTGTGGAAGCAAAAGTGACTGAATTACAACGTCTGATGTGAGACTGGAAAATAAGGAAATAGAGAGGGAAGAGCAACAGGGAAACTTAGAGAAGAGGAGAAGCAAAATTAGTCCTTTAGAAACAGGCGAAGCTCTTATTTCAGAAAGATAGAGGCCAGGACTTCCCTGGTGGTACAGTGGATAAGAATCTGCCTGCCAATGCACAGGACATGGATTCCATCCGTACTCCAAGAAGATTTCACATGCCAAGGAGCAACAAGCTCATGCGCCGTAACTTGAGCCCACGCTCCACAATGAGAAGCTGCTGCAATGAAAAGCCCGCACACAGCAAGGAAGAATAGCCCCTGCTTACTTCAACTAGAGAAAGCCTGAGTGCAGCAGTGAAGACCCAGTGAAGCCAAAAAAAAAACAAAAAATAGGGGTCAGAGTGAACAACTGATAGTTGCAACATGGATAAATCCCCAAAACATTATAGAACATATACTATTTGATTCCATCTATTATATGAAATTCTAGAAAGGAATCATTGAACCTATAGGGACAGAGAGCAGGTGAGTGGCTACTTGGGGCTAAGAATTTGGGGGATTTCATAGGCAGGGGTAAAAGGGAATATCTTGCAGTGATGGAAATGTTCTATATCATGACTTTGGTAGTTGTTACAGGGGTATATAAATTTGTCAAAACTCACCAAAACATACGCTTCAATGGGTATACTTTAGTGCATGCAAATTATACCTAAATATGATTTCTTTTTTAAAAAAAATATGATTTCTAAAAAGAGATAGGAATGAAGTAGGGGCTTTTATGAAATCTACAATTAGGAAAAAATGTAGCTAAAGCAAGCTGTTAGGTGAGAACTTAGGTGAGTCAGTTGTAGCATAGGTAAAACAACACAGGAGCCCAGCTTTCCAGCCCTCCTGTAACTCTCTTCATTGGCATGCTCATTTCTCAAGACATAATTTTGTAGACACAACTGTGTCTAACCTCATCACAACTGAAGACTTCATGTATGTGAAAGTCACTCATCCGTTCAACGCAGATTCACTGAGTGTTCATTATATGCTAGGCTCTGTGCTGAGAGCTAGAGACAAAGAAGTGAACGAGAATGTCTATCTGCCTGCACGGAGTTTACTATCTAACACAGAAGGCAGACACTGAACAAGATGCCAGAGTGAAATAAGCTCAAAGTCCCCCACCACAAACTCCTTAGAGATTCTGGGTAGAATAACAAGGAGTTCAATTCCAGGAGCCAGAAATGAAGAAAGGGTTAGGGAGAAAGACACAGCAATAGGTGCAAACTGCTTCTGTGATGGTCCTGAAGAGGTGTAGTTTTCAGAGCCTCAAACTGACCCTAATGGTCACGCCTAGCCTTTTGATATACTCTGCTGTGTTCCATGTAGCAGCATCATACATATTTATAATAATAACTTTATCATAAATGAAAACCTTAATCCTTTTATGAATCCACATTGGTAAACCTAAAGAGAGGTGGGCAAGAAGTATATATCTTTTTATTGTCACGTGAATGTAAGGTCAATAAAGACAGACTTTTGCCTATAATGATGTTGTGTTCACAGCACCTGGAATTAAATCATGTAGCACTTTAAAAATGACTTTAAGTTAACAAATGAATAAAACAATTAATTAAGTCATAATGGTCTAAAATATGGGACAATAGTCTTTAATTGAAGAACATATATTGGCAAACACAAGGTTTTTTCTCTTTCTTTTTTTAAAATTTTATTTATTATTTTTTATTTTATTTATTTTTTGTTTTTTCATTTATTTTTATTAGTTGAAAGCTAATTACTTTACAATATTGTAGTGGTTTTTGCCATACATTGACATGAATCAGCCATGGATTTACATGTATTCTCCATCCCGATCCCCCCTCCCACCTTCCTCCCCACCCCATCCCTCTGGGTCTTCCCAGTGCACCAGCCCTGAGCGCTTGTCTCATGCATCCAACCGGGGCTGGTGATCTGTTTCACCTTTGATAGTATGCTTGTTTCAATGCTGTTCTCTCAGAACATCCCACCCTCGCCTTCTCCCACAGAGTTCCAAAGTCTATTCTGTACATCTGTGTCTCTTTTTCTGTTTTGCATATAGGGTTATCGTTACCGTCTTTTTAAATTCCATGTATATGCGTTAGTATACTGTATTGATCCTTATCTTTCTGGCTTACTTCACTCTGTATAATGATAAGTCAACACATGTAAAGTGCTTAGAATGGTGGCTAGCAAGTATTAAATGAAAATTAGTTGTTGGGAAAAAAATAGTTGACTACTATTGTATTCAATTGACCTCTAACTTTTTTCTTAACCACAGAAATGCTTTTAGCCTGAGCTCTCTTTTCAATATCCATGTCATGCATTACTGTAAGACCAAAATGTTATTTGTTAGAAACACTATAATAGCTTCCTAACAACTGATGGTCAGGCCAGAAACATCTCTTTGTGGCTTACAAAAAGTCAGATTTTGTGAGTGTAACTACATAGTTATATTCTCTATGAATTACTGTAAGACCAGGAAGTGCTTAGATGATTTGTTATATATTTCTGACTTTGCATGTGTTGAGAAATAGACAGTGTAGGAGATATCATGTGTTAGAGGAATGATAAATTGCATAGAGATTGTATTGTAAAAATGAGTTTTGTGTTGACTTAGATTTTATTTTCACATTGTTATTCCTTTAATAATATATAAAATTAATAGACTTGTGATATTATGAAAAATTAAAAAAAAAACTGACCCTAATGGCTGGGAATTAGGGTAGTACTGCCTTGGCTAAAGAGGAGAGAGGACTTGGGCCATGAGAGAGAGGGATCCGGGGCTTTGCTGGTGGTCCAGTGGTTAAGAATCTGTCTGCCCAATGTAGGGGACACAGGTTCGATCCCTGGTTCAGGAAGATCCCACAACTAAGCCCACAAGATGCAACTACTGAAGCCTGTGTGCCTAGAGCCCATGCTCTGCAATAAGAGAAGTCACTGCAATGAGAAGCCTGTACGCCTCAATGAAGATTAGCCCCCGTTCGCCATGATTAGAGAAAGCCAGTGTGCAGCAACAAAGACCCAGCACAGACAAAACTAAATAGATAAATAAATAGAAAAGAGAGCTAGGGACCCAGAACTGAGACTCCTCCATTACCTTGGAGAGTAATACTTCCACAGACAGAGCTGGCTTATGACCAGCTTCATGAAAGCTTACACAGCTTTAAATCTTTTTTCCATGCATGAGTTGAGAATGTACACACCTCCAAATTCAGGAGATAGCTGAATGGGTATCATCAAGCTCTCCAAATAATTCTCTGACACATATCTCCCAAAGAAGAGAAGGAAGGAGAAATACCGCAGAGCATATGAATAATTCTTTCTAAAGAAATTATTTAAAATCTGCACCTGAGAGGGTAATGAGCTACAAAGGTAACAAAAATCTCCTTTACAAGGTCTTAGCATGCTCCTCATAAGTTATCTGACATCTGCTGTTCTCAAATGAAATTCCCAGAACATTGAAAGCCATATTTAATATTATGTTATAGGTGTATATTAAAAAATCTAAGGAAACCACCAAAAACAAAGAAGCAAGTAGACTGTATAATTTAACCAGGGGGAAGGGGATAGGAAATAAAAGGAATATAAATCAATCCAATAGGGGAAATATAAGACAAAACATAAGAAGGAAAAAAGAGGTCATGTAAATAGAAATAAGGTGATAGAAACAAATCTAAATATGTTATTATCATAATAAGTACAGACTAAACTCTTTAGGTAAAAGAGAAATTTTCAAACAAATATTGTATATTAATGCATATATATGGAATCTAGGGAAATGGTACTGATGAGCCTATTTGTAAGGGAGCAGTAGAGACACAGACATGGAGAATAGACTTGTGGACTCAGTGGGGGAAGGAGAGGGTGCGAAGAATGGAGAGAGTAGCACTGAGACCTTTACATTATCATATGTAAAACAGATTTCTTTCTTTCTTTTTTTTTTTTTTTTGCTGTATGACACAGGGAACTCAACCCCATGCTCTGTGACAATCTAGAAGGGCGGGATGGAGTGGAAGGTGGGAGGGAGGTTCAAGAGGGAGAGGACGTATGCATACCTATGGTTGATTCACTTTGATATATGGAAGAAATCAACATGGTAAGGCATCTATCCTCCAATTAAAAATAAGTTTTTTAAAAGACAAACTTTCAGATTAGATTTTTTAAAAAATGAATACAGTATAGTTGTATGCTGTTAGTAAGAAACAAATCTAATATTTAAAAGCATGAAAGCTTTAAAGTATCATTATTACCATGGTCTTCTATTTGGAAAATAATCTAAAAACAAGAAAAAGAATGAAAAGATCTTTGCAAACTCCACATTCAGCAAAACTAGGAGATGAGTCTAATTGGAAGAGAATAAGTTTCATGTAAGGACTGAGAAAAGCAGCTGAAACTGGGGGCAATTATGAAATAGGAACTGGAAACAAGAAACTATGAAGAAAAAAAAAAAGAGGGCTTCCCTAATGGTTAAGAATCCACCTGCCTACACAGGGGATAGGGGTTCGACCCCTGATCCTGGAAGATCTCACATGCCATAGCACAGCTAAGCCCATGCACCACAGCTGCTGAGCCCACATGCCCTACAGCCTGTGCAATAATCGATTAATTTAAAAAATACTAATAGAAACTATGGAGGAACATTTGAGCATAAAGAGGGACAAGCAGAGACAGATGTAAAAAAATATGAGGAAAATTACATTTCCCAAAGGTGAGAGTCTCACCATTAGCGTCCTCCTACTTGTAACTCTAGCTGCAAGAAACTGGGAAACAGAGCAAGGAGGGCTGCTCAATCCTTTATAAAAGTCATGTTTATGATGGGAGACAAGAAGGGAGCTTTAGTTTCAGTTTTGTTTTTCTTTGTTTTGGCTGAGCTGTGGGGGTTTTCCTGGTGGTTCAGTGGTAAAGAATCCACCTGCAATGCAGGAGACATAAGAGACTCGGGTTTGATCT